AGTGCGTGGGATGGAATAGCCTCGCACACTCGCTACTACGTCCGCTACTCTCGTCACGCTCGCGACTCTCCCTAAGTTCGCGACTACGTTCGCGACTTTCGCTACGTTCGCGGCTTTCATGCACTCCCCATTTGCCGCTCCTAGATTACGCCTATTCAAGGTCCGCTCTAACACTCGGCAGAATACGGCCCATGCCCGCTAGAAGTCGCATTGTGAAAGCTTTGCGGTAACCTGAGAAATTTAGCAGCTATCTATAGCCGTTCTGACAAGTGATGGGTATGTATGGCGGGGCATGGGGAACTGGGTTTTGGGTGTGATCGATCACCATACACGTGGTGTGAACCCAACTGCTTCTACTGGAAAGTAAAACCTTCATTCGAAGAATGCAATATCGGAAACCGTTAATGTCAGGTACACCTAGTATTCTTATTTCAGGGAAGATACACCTAGTCCGCGTTATTTTAACCATCGCTATCTTAACCACGCGGGGGTACTACTCCATGGTCAATATTGAATACAAGGGTAGTTTAAAATTTTATAAGGGTATAGTTAAGCGTACCCTTCGCGAGATCACGGAAGTTGCAACTCTGTTAATGCCAACGCGCCCCCTATCTCGGAGCACTAAGTGTGGGTTTTGTCAAATGGAAAACTTCTAGGGTGTATTCTAATAGCCTTGAATTCTCTGGGTGCCCATTCCATTGAACTAAAATGCACTCAGGATGTTTGAAACAAAAAAGTTCGGGTGGTTAAAATACCGCGGACTTGGTGTATCAGTCACATCCCTCCGGGAACCCGCTTTTGCCCCTGCGGGTTTTCCCTGGAGGGATTTCGCTTTTCCCGCAGTCGCCTAGCGGTGCACGCGAGGGGCGGGAGCCAACCCCCCCCCCCCCCCCCCCCCCCCCCGCCCCGCCCGAAAACGGGCAACCCCAGCAGGCGCCAGCTGCCGATGACGCCAGCGATCCGTGCCCTCGGGCTGGCAGTGGTCCCCCCCAACCGAACCAAGCCCCACTCTCAGTTCGTTGACGGGTTCCGTCCGGTAACCCACGGAACCCTCGCCGACGGAACCCGTCCGCGAAAGTTTCCGTGAGCTAACGGAAGCGACGCCCATCTGCGTCGCGCTCCACCGCTTTCGCCCTCGACGGGCCCGTTTCGTTTGGCGATCGACCCTTGTGACGTGTCGAACACCCCCTACCGCTCCACGGAAGGGGCCTTTCAGCTGCATGCAAGGCGCCCCACCTCATGCAACCAACCACCAAATTTCACGTCGAGGCCAATAGGGCTCCGCCGCCCTCTACGAAAAGCTCCTCCTCCCGCCGTCGCAGAACGCGCCCTGCCTCGTCGCCCTTACACCCGAGAATGTCTCGATGGGGGGGATGGCAAACAGCTAATACCCTGAGTGCGTTCTCATTTTGTTGCTGTCTTTGAGTTTTTCTTCCCTATTTCCTAGTTTTGTTGCTGCGCCATGGCTATGGGCCCCGCCTCCGTACCCGTCATGAACGAGCCGTTGGTTCGACGCGGCCTCATGCTAATCGCAAGTGGGATCGAGGTGGAGGTGTTCGAAGACCAGTTGAATGCGGTTAGCGAGGCGCCAAAAGCAGAGCTCGATGAGAGGATGATGAACGCGGGCGTTGTGTACGTTTCCTGTCGATCGTTTTGTGTTTGCCATGTTTCGGTTTACCTGTCGCTGAGTGTGAGAAGAATAGAACAAGAATGAATGAACTATGAATGAAGTGAGTACATATAGGATACCCTAATTGAGTTGTACCCCCTATGGGATACCCCACTATAGCCTACACAACAGCATAAGCTATATAACGTTCTGACACACCCCCATAGGCAAAGTGGGGGAGAACAAGGGGTCACAAGACCAGTCAAGCAAAACAGAGCAAGCTCAGGGTGGATCACAAAGTCACCACACAGTCCGAGCACAACGACAAGGCCACAAGGCCAATTCACATGCAGGAGTACACACATATATATATAGAGCTAGACAAGCAAGAGCAGGTATATATATGTGACAGTACAAGCAAGGTCAAGAGGAGAGCAAGAGAGGCAAGACAGGTACAAGACCCAGCTGAGTGCAGAAGCGCTGATGGTCACAAGGCGCGAGTGCCTTGGTGAACACGTCAGCAGTGTTGGCCTCAGAGGCCACGTACGCAAGCCGCAACTGTCCACGCTGCTGTAGCTCACGAGCAAGGAAGTAGCGGAGAGCAATGTGCTTCGTTCTGTTTTCCAGGCGCTGCTCTCGACACAAGGCCAGCATGGCCTTGCTGTCTACGTACAGCACTAGAGGAGAACGAGGCGGCTCTCCAAGGTCAGTCAGCAGGTAGGTGAGCCAGCGAAGCTCCTGTGCAGCCATGGCCCCGGCATAGATCTCAGCCTCACAACTGGAGCTGAGGACAGAAGACGAGCGAGTAGCCCGCCACGAGACAGAGCCGGAACCAAGACTGAAGGTGTAACCCTGTGACGACCGCTGCGTAGCCTGGTCGTCAGCCCAAGAAGCGTCCGCGTGCCCCGTAAGGACCACTGGACTCCGCCCTCCAAGCACTAGCCCCATGCCCGACGTACTGCACACGTAGCGCAACACCCTCTTCGCTGCAGCCATGTGCTCTGGTCCGTGTCTCCCAGGAGCAACATAGCGTGCAAGAATGCTAAGAGGGTATGCAAGGTCAGGTCGTGTGCAGGTCATCAGGTACATGAGGCAGCCAACAAGCTCTGGGTACGGGCCACTCGACTCTACGGACTCATCCGAAGGCAGAGCTGAGAGCGAGTGGCGAGTAGACAGAGGAGTGGCCTGAGGCGAGGAGTACGTGAAGCCGAAGCGCTGAAGGACCTGCTGCACCATGTGTGACTGAGTCAAGGTAATGGTGCGGCGTGCTCTGTCCCGAGTGATCTGCAAGCCAAGATAGCTGCGCAGTTCACCCAGGTCTGTGCACGTGTGTCTCTTCAGCAGCTCGGACTTCACGTAGGCAAGTCCAGCAGTGTCCGCTGTGGCAAAGACCAAGTCGTCGACGTACACGAGGATGTAGAACGGCGGCAGAGAAGTGTCAGTGCGCAGAAACAGCGAAGGGTCAGCAGTAGAGGGAGCAAACCCAAGAGCCGCAAGCGTAGTCCTCAGTGTGTCGTGCCACTCGCGCGGTGCCTGGCGGAGACCGTAGACTGGCCGTCGGAGGCTCCACTGGGTGCCAGGAGGGAAAGTCCGAGTGAAGTCAGGTGGACGGCGCAGCCAGATCTCCTCCTGCAGGCTACCCTGCAAGAAAGCTGTGCTGAAGTCAAGAGAGTGAAGCTCGTAGTCGCGCTGAGCGGCTATGTGCAGCACTATGTGCAGCAGCACCCGAAGAGTGGTCATCTTCGGGGTGGGAGAGAAGGTCTGAAAGTAGTCAACTCCCTGCCGCTGACTGAAGCCACGAGCGACGTACCGCGCCTTGAAGACAGGTGGAGAGCCCGGCGGCCGCTTCACCCTGAAGATCCACATGCCACTGACGATGTTCGCCCCAAGAGGGGGAACCGCGTCAACGTAGGTGCCTGTGGACTTCCAGGAAGCCATCTCTGCATCCATAGCTGCCTGCCACTGAGAGGAGTAGGGACCCTCTACGGCCTCCGCGTAAGAGCACGGAGTCGGGATGTCTAGTGCATCCGGGTCTCCCTCAGGGGCAAGCAGTACAGACGCGAGATGAGGTGAAGCAGTAGCCAGACACTGGAACTCCTCCTGCCTGTCCTCAAGGACGTCCGTGCCAAGAGCACATTCACCCCCGACGGACGGAGGACACACAGACGCAGACTCAGCAACAAGACTGGCAGCGTAGTCTAGACGACAGCGAGCAGCAAAGTCAACGAGCTCAGCAACAAGCGCAGACGCAGCAGCGGACTCAAACGAGGGGTCAGTGACGACAGTAGCAAGAAGACGCGTGACAGTAGGACTGGCAGCGCGAAGAGAGTCCGACTCCGGGTCGGTAAGCGCAGGAAGAGAGGACGTAGGAGGAGAAGGCAAAGGGGCACGCAGAGGAGCAGTGGACGGACGCAGAGACATCCGGTGCGTGCCAGGGACAGGAGGAGGACGCTGACGCGAACCGCGACCACTAGCGCGAGCAGCACGAACAGGCGACGCGGGACGAGACGCAGGCTCACGACGCTCAACAAGACCTCCAGTAGGACCAGTGTAAGGAGAGGGAGCAGGAAGTGGGGAGGCGGGCTCTAACTGTGACTGTGACTGGACAGGCGGTGGACACTCTACAGGAGGAGAAAGACCAAGAACCTGCTGCAGGAGCGGAACGAAGTACGGCCGAGGCCGCGCGGCGACTCCAGACACAGCAGGGACAGCACCAGCACCCTTAGCACCTCCGGCAGCACCAGCGCCAACAGCACCTCCAGCGGCAGGACCTCCAGCAGCACTAGCAGCAGGACCACCGCCAGGACAGACAGCAGCAGTCTCAGCACCAGCACCCTCTGCAGCGCCAGCTCCAGTAGGACTCGCAGGCCCAGCAGCTCTGGGACCGGCGGCACCAGCACCCTCAGCAGCCGAAGAAACTCCAGCTCCAGCAGCACGCCTCCAGCGGCGAGCAAACCACTCGCGCAGCTCCTGTGGAGAGAGTGGCTCCCGCCGAGACGTAGCACCCAGAGAACCTCCAGGCCCAGCACCGCCAGACACCACAAGGGGAGGTCCAGCGGCCGCAGGCTCCGCACCTCCAGGCCCATCAGCCCCAGACGCAGCACCTCCAGGCTCAGCAGCTCCTGACGTAGCACCCCCAGACTCAGCAGCTCCAGACGCAGCACCCCCAGGCTCAGCAGCTCCCGACGTAGTACCCCCAGACTCAGCAGCCCTAGGCTCAGCACCCCCAGTCGCAGTACCCCTAGGCTCAGCACCCCCAGGCGCAGCACCCCCAGTCTCAGCACCCCCAGGCGCAGCACCCACGTGCACGGCACCCCAAGAGTCAGCACCCCCAGGCTCAGCACCCGCAGCAGTACCAGAGTCACCAGCAACCTCGACCGGCTCGACTGCGTCAACCTGGGACACACCAGAAGGGGCAGGACCCTGAGGGGGAAGGGGGTCTACCGGGGGGGCACCTGGCACAAGGAAGTGTGGCGGTGGGGGGAGGGAAGGAGTGCGGTAGGGGAAGAGGCGGTAGAAGGGGACGGACTCGTCGAACGTGACGTCCTGGGAGGACAGAACACGACGAGAGGAGGGGTGGTAGAACTGCCACCCTGGGGCGTCAGGGGGGAAGCCTAGGAAGACACAGGGAGCAGCACGAGGGGACAGCTTGTCCGCAGACAAGTCGCGGACAAACGCCCGAGATCCCCAGACACGAAACGCAGACGCATCGCCGACCTTCCCCGTCCACAGCAGAGCTGGGGAGGTCTCTGGCCGGGAGACCCTGGGGTGAAGGTTGAGCTGATGCGCCGCGTACCGAACCGCAAACGGCCACAGAAAATGGGGGGCAGCCGCATGCATCATGGACGTACGAGCGACGTCCATGACCATGCCAATGCGGCGCTCAGCAATCCCGTTTTGCTGTGGAGAGTCCGGAAGCGTAAAGGTCTGGCGGATCCCCCGTGCACGACAGTAGGCCTGCAGAAGGCCAGAGGAGAACTCCCCACCTCGGTCAGAGTGCAGACGCAGAACAGGAAAGTCCGAGCCGAAGCTCCTCCTGAGCTGGAGACGAGCTGCGCGGATCCAGTCGATCAGCACCTCAGTGACATCACCCTTGCTGCGCAAGGGGAAGACTGTGGTGTAACGCGAGTAGTCGTCAACCACCAGCAGGAAGTAGCGCTCGTGACCCTGCCCACGGACGCGGGCCGGGCCCCACACGTCCATGTGAAGTGTCTGCAGAGGAGCCTCTGTCGGGGGAAACTGGGAGGAGTGAGGAGCAGCCCGGAGGCGCTTCTCGACACTGGGTACACAGGAAGGTCCTGGTCCCGAAGGAAGGGGAGGGAGAGACCGGGGGAGACCAGAGACAAGGACACGGGAAGCCATGCCCCGAAGACGAGGCAAGGAGGGGTGGCCAAGACGGTGGTGCGACAGGAGAGTCTCGTGAGACAGGAGGCGACACGAACAGGGGGCAGACTCAGGACCAGACCGGGACGCAGCAGCAAACACCTGACCCGACGCAGCTACCTGGCCAGACGCAGGGATAGGAGGAGACTCAGTGGTCAGGGTGTAGAGGCTCGACCCTGGCCGACGCGAGAACGTGGCCAGGTGCCGACCTGTGCGTGCGTCCGTGCAGTGGGTCACCCGCAGACTCGCAGGAGAAAACTGGTGCACCCCTGCATCCTGCAGGTCAGCTCCACTCACCAAGTTCGTCGAGAACGAGGGGAGGTACAGACCAGACAGGGTGCCCGAGGGGGCAGCCGGACACGGGAGGACAGTGGAGAAGTGACAGGACCCCCAGAGGGGTCAGCCAGGGAGACTGCAACCGGCCGACCAAGCGGCGTGAGTGTGGTGCGGTCTCGAAAGAAGGAGCGAGAAGCCCCTGAGTCAAGTGTGAAAGTGAGGGAGGCCGAAGCCGACGCAGTACCTGGGAGCGCAGCCTCACCAGTACCTGAGAGCGCAGACGCACTGGCACCTAGAGCAGTAGCCTCACAAGCACCTAGCACAGCAGTACCAATGCCCAGGTCGGGCGGGAAACACCGGTAACAGTCACCCTCCTCACTAATAGTCACAGCATACATGGCAGCAAGGATAGCATCAAAGTCAAGATCAAAGATAGCTACACCAGCCCTAGACAGCTCTCCCCAGCGGGGAATCTCACTAGCCTCGGGGAACTGCTGACGCCAAGCCTCCGTCAGGCGGCCAAAGCAGCGCTGGGTGGGGTGGGCACCCCCACACTGCTCACCCGCGCGGTCGCCGGAACGAAGGACGTAGGCGCACGGACTAGTACCCCCACCCCTCTGACGCTGCGTGTACCACTCACGGAGCTGCTGGGGCGGGGGGATGTCCCGCGGACGCTGCTGCTGCTGGCGCTGACCACTACCAGAGTCGCTCCGCTGCGGGGCACCACCCCGACCAGCTCCACCCCCTCCGCCACCGCCGCCTCCACCTCCGCCACCACCGCCGCCTCCACTCCCACCGCTGCCGCCGCCACCGCGGCCTCCTCCGCCGCTGCCACCACCACCTCCGCCTCCGCCACTACTCCCACCGCCACCCCCACTCCCTCTGCCGCCTCCACCGCCACCTCCACCGCCCCCTCCAGCTCCACCCGCGCCCTTGCCCCCCTTGCCCTTTGCCAGGGCGGCGTCTCTCGCTAGGGGCAGACGCCGCGCCGACCGACTCAAGACCAAGCAGGTCGGCAGCAGCAGCAGAGGCAACAGAGGGCAGTAGGGGGGAAGGAGAACACCCCTCAAAGATGGGGGTGCGAGGGTCACCACGAGAGGCTCCAACAGCGACGATACTCTTCTCCGCCGCTAGGAGGGCCTTCTCGAGGAGGTCGACAGTGAGAGTGGTGGGACAGACTGAGAGGAAGTGGTCCCTGACTACGCGAAGGGAGTCAGGGAGGCGTGTGACTATGTAGTAGAGAGTGATGTACATGGGGGTGGTGTTCTTGGCGCAGAACTCAGCAGGAAGGGCGGCGCGGTAGCGAGTGTCACTAGTGCGGAGGTGCGTAATGAGGTCAGCGACAGTGGGAAAGGCAGTGAGATCAGGAAAGAGGTACGGTAGCATGAGACGGCTCAGTGCAGCAGTGGCAGGGGAAGAGTAGCGCGCAACTATAGCGTCGTACAAGGTCTGAGCACTCTTGTACTGACTAAAGTGCGCGCGCTCAGTGATGGGCAAGTGGCGACGCACAGCAAGACGTGCAGCAGCATCGCGGGTGGCCCACTGAGAGCGAACAGTGGGGTCAGCATCAGCAGCAGGGGCAGGAGAGGCGCCAGAGGTGAGGTCAAAGAGGTCAAGGCCGTCCGCCCTATCGCACTGTAAGAACAGCTGCAGGTCGTCGACCCAGACCTCAAAGTCAATGGCTCGACCCTCAGCGTCAAAAGCGAGGACACTAGGGGTAGCCATGACGACGACAGTGGAGCAGTGCAAGCAGTAGGGGAAGGGCACGCACCGAGAGCGGTACGGTGCTCACCGGGCAGGGCAGGTCGGGCGGCTCGGCAGGAGGGCGGCTTGGCGACTCGGCGGCTCGGCTGCTGGGCGGCTCAGCTCCCGGGCGGCTCGGCGGCAGGGCGGCTCGGGTGCCGGGCGGCTCAGGTGCAGGGCGGCTCGGGGGCGGGGCGGCTCGGCTGCCGGGCGGCTCGGGTGCAGGGCGGCTCGGGGGCGGGGCGGCTCGGTTGCACTGCGGCTCGGTGGTCCGGCGGTGCGGCGGCTGCTGCTGGGCGACTCGGCTGCTCCGGTACCGGGCGGCGTGGCAGTCGGCTGCGTGGGCGGCGGGGCCGCGTAGGTGAGGGCGGCGAGGCCGCGTAGGTGAAGGCGGCGAGGCCGCTCAGGTGAAGGCGGCGGGGCCGCGTTGGTGAGGGCGGCGGGGCCGCGTAGGAGAGGGCGGCGACGCCGCACAGCTCAGGGCGGCGAGGCCGCGATAGGAGGGCGGCGGGGCCGCAAGAGCAGAGCGACGGGGCCGCGATGTAAGGGCGGCGGGGCCGCGACCGCAGGGCGACGGGGCCGCGATCAAAGGGCGGCGGGGTCGCGATGTAAGGGCGGCGGGGCCGCGACGTAAGGGTGGCGGGGCCGCGAGAGCAGGGGCGGCGGGGCCGCGATGTAAGGGCGGCGGGGCCGCAACGTAAGGGTGGCGGGGCCGCGACAGCAGGGCGACGGGGCCGCGAGGTAAGGGCGGCGGGGCCGCGAGAGCAGGGGCGGCGGGGCCGCGATCAAAGGGCGGCGGGGCCGCGAGAGCAGGGGCGGCGGGGCCGCGATGTAAGGGCGGCGGGGCCGCGAGGTAAGGGCAACGGGGCCGCGATCAAGGGGCGGCGGGGCCGCGATCGTAGGGTCGGCCGCTAGGGCGGCTCGGTAAGAGAATGGCCCGAGGCGCGACTCGGGATGAGTGTGCTTCGGGCAGGAAAAAAAAATCGAGTGGTGGGCCCTAGGCGCAGTTCCCACAGGGGAACCTGCTCGATACCATGAGAAGAATAGAACAAGAATGAATGAACTATGAATGAAGTGAGTACATATAGGAAACCCTAATTGGGTTGTACCCCCTATGGGATACCCCACTATAGCCTACACAACAGCATAAGCTATATAACGTTCTGACAGAGTGTGCATTAGCTTTCCGTGCAGCCTGTTTTCAAGGGAGCTGTTGTCCGCCGAGCAGCTGGCCAAGATGTCGATCGAGACTTCGACGCGTGCGCGTGAAGAGATGGCGCGTCCCACGCCGATCGCTTTTGCGAACCACCACCTCCACGGCTTGCTCGGCAAGCAAGTGATTTTCGTTCTGCTGCGGACCACGTGAGTTTGACACTATCCCGTCGCCTTGCGTCCTCCATGTTTAGTACTAAACCCGTGCTCACGTGCATTCGCTCTGCATGCAGCCTGACTGTGACTGTGAGAGTACGACGGCTTATGCTAGCTATGCAAGCTTGCCTTTACTTTATTATGCTATTTCTAGCATAGGATAATTTTTGCATGCATGAATTTCTTGATTTCCTAGGCTAGGTGCTTTCTTATATTTTATTATAGTTATAGCACCGAGCTAGGTTGCGTGCACCGAATTCTGGCTTTTTGGTTGCCACCGAATTACCTTCTACCGAATTCGGGAAGGATCTGTTCGGGACGCTTCGCGACCCGCGGAACCTTCGTGTAACACCTGGTTACTGGGCCTTGTGTCGAGCCTATATATAGCCTCGTGTTGTACCCAGGTGATCATTCAATTCATTCAACTCACATTCTCTTTTCTGAGCTCGATCCTAGATCCTCACACTTGCTAATCAGAGCCTGTTTAGACGCGAAGTTTTTCGACCGCTAAAACCTAGCTTTTAAAACCGCGGGGGCGACGACGGAAAGCGCCGATTTCGGGTTCGTAAACCAGTTCCGCGCTATTTTCTAACGTCCCCCTCGAACCGGTTTTCGAACACTCCTCAGGTCCAGTGGCGAAAAAGCTGGAATTTCGACCGTCGGATCGATTCGAATCTCAACGGCCTCGAGAATTTCGCCCAAAAACGTTGGAATTTGGAGCGTCGGATCAACTTTCTTCTCAACGGCCGAGATCAGACGCGAATTTTGATTAAGGGAGAACTACGCGACCTACAGAATCAGCCCTCGTCATTTCTGCAGTCAACTCGACTCACAGTAAGATGACCAGCGCCTGAAATTCATATATTTTCGTCGCAAATCTTCCTATAAATCGCCAAATGGAGGAAAACGGTGATGATTCCATACGGAAAATTACGGAGTTACACACCAGCCTGGACCAGACGCGAGCGGCACTCCAGCGAATAGAGGAGCTTCTCTATAGTGGGTTAGCCTATAGGGGGTACAGTGGGTTAGCCTATAGGGGGTACACAATTCTAAGGTTAGGTACTTGTACTGATTTCACTGTTAGTTCAATCATTCCTGTTCATTCATTTCAACATGGTATAGAGCAGGTCCTTCGCTAGGACCGTTTTTTTAGGGCCCACCACTACCTACCTACCTACCTACCTACCTACCTACCTACCTACTTGCGCCCTAGGGCGCCTCGTTTTTCACGGCCCCCTAAGGCCCCGCGACCCGCGACCCGCCCCTTAGCGACTCGCGCGCCGCCCCTTAAGGCCCCGTCGGCCCACGTGCTCGCCCCTTACGGCCCCGCGCTCGCCCCTTAGCGACCCTGTCGGCCCCACGATCGCCCCTAACGGCCCCGTCGGCCCCGCGCTCACCTCCCTAGAGGCCCCCGTCGGCCCCGCGCTCGCCCTCAGCGGCCCCTTACGGCCCCGCGCTCGCCCCTAGAGGCCCCGAACGGCCCCGCGCTCGCCCTTAGCGGCCCCTTACGGCCCCGCGCTCGCCCCTAGAGGCCCCGAATGGCCCCGCGCTCGCCCTTAGCGGCCCCTTACGGCCCCGCGCTCGCCCCTAGAGGCCCCGATCGGCCCCCGCGCTCGCCCTTAGCGGCCCCTTAAGGCCCCGCACTCGCCCCTAGAGGCCCCGAACGCCCCCCCCCGAACAAGCCGCCCGACCCGAGCAGCCCGAACCGAGCCGCCCTGCCCGAACCGAGCCGCCCGAACCGAGCCGCCCTGCCCAAACCGAGCCGCCCCAACCGAGCCGCCCGAACCGAGCCGCCCAGCCCAAACCGAGCCGCCCCGCCCTTCCCGAGCCGCGCCACCCTACCTGAACCGAGCCACGCCGCCCGTACTGGACCGAGCCGCCCTACCTGAGTCGCACTGCCTACTGTTTTTGGGGTGCCCCTACTGCTATTACTCCTACTACTGCTATGGGTAGCCCTCCTGTGCTAGCTTTCGATGCTGAGGGCCGCCCAGTGAAGTTCGAAACCTGGCTATTCGCAACTCCCTGCCGATAGATGAGCGCGAGCACTTTGGGCAGCACAAGACTGCACAGGCACTGTACACTGCTGTCGTTGCCCGCTACTCCTCTCCGGCCTCTGCCGCACTAGGCCGTCTCTCTCTTCCCTACCTGTTCCCCGACTTAGCCTCTTTCCACACAGTCGCTGACCTCATTACGCACCTCCGCACTAGTGAGGCTCGCTTCTGTGTCGCCATGCCTGATGAGTTCCTTGCCAAGAACCCACCCCCACTCTGGCTCACTCTCTACCACCTAGTCACCCGCCTCCCTGACACTCTGCGCTCAGTCAGGGACCGCTTCCTAGCTCGCTGCCCCACTGAGCTCACCATTGCCCTCCTCGAGAAGGAACTCCTTGCAGCTGAGGCTAGCATAGTCGCTGTAGGTGCCTCTCGTGGCGATCCCCGTACCCCGTTCTTTGAGGGGTGTTCTCCTTCCCCCCTTCTTCCCTCTGTCGCCTCTGCTGCTGCTGTCGACCTCCTTGGTGCTGAGAAGGTCGGGACTGCGTCTGCTTCGAGCGGGCGCCGCAGCGGCAAGGGCAAAGGGGGCAAGGGCGGTGGCGGTGACAGCGGGGGAGGCGGTGGTGGGGGCGGTGGCGGCGGTGGGGGGTGGTGGCGCGACTGGAGGGGCTAGTGGCAGCGGTGGGGGTGGTGGCGGCAGCGGCGGGGGAGGTGGCAGGGGCGGAGGCGGTGGTGGGGGTGGCGGTGGACGCGGCGGCGGCAGGGGTTGGGGTGGTTGAGGAGGTGGCGGCGGCGGTGGTGGTCGTGGAGGCACTAGCGGTGGCCAGAGCCAGCAGCACACTCCGTCGCCCCAGGAGGTCCGTGAGTGGTACTCTCAGCACGGGGGGGGGGGGGGGGGGGGGGGGGTGGCTTTAGCTGCACGTACGTCATTCGCACTGTTGACCGCACTGGTCAGCGTGTGGGGGGACCGCACGCCACACAGCGCTGCTTCGCTCGTCTCAACGACGCTTGGCGTGTTCAGTTCCCTCAGGCCACTGAGCTGCCCTGCTGGTGTTGATCTCCTGAAGAAGGGGATTGATATTTATGCTCTAGACTTTGATGCTATTCTCACTGCTATGTATGTGATGTCTACTAGTGGAGAGGGTGCTGAGTACTTGTGTGTGCCGCCCGACCCGAGCATTAGGACTAGTGCGTCTGCCGCTCCAGGTACTCGCGTGTCTGCTACCCCAGGTGCTGGTGAGGCAGCTGCTCTAGGTGCTTGTGCGTCTGCCCCCCCTGGTACTGAGTCGACGGCAGCACTGCACACCTTCACACTGGACTCAGGTGCTTCTCGCTGCTTCTTTCGTGACCGCAACTACCCTTGAGCCGCTTGCTCGGCCAGTTGCTGTCTCCCTCGCTGATCCCTCTGGGGGTACGGTCATTGCGACCTCCTCCACTATCCTTCCCTGTCCTGCGGTCCCGTC